CGCCCAAAAAGTTCGCAATGCATGTTGGCAAGCCCGCTCTACAGAGCATGTGGAGTGCAGTTTGTAAGGTGAGTTGGTTACGCGCCAGAGAAAAGTTCAAGCCGAACGTGGGACTCGAACTCACAACCCTGAGCTTAGAAGCTCATGCTCTACCGACTGAGCTAGTCGAGCAGTACATTCTAACTACCTGCTTGGGATTTGCTTGACATTCGGACCTGGATTGCTGTTTCAAAGGTGAGTCAGAGTGTCTGTTTGGGCCTCGAACCTACAACCCTGAGACTAGGAATCATGCTTTGTGAAAAGTCTATTGATCAGCAAGAGAGTGCTTTCAGTGGTAAAATCAGTTAGCTCTATTAGTTATACAGATGAATGATTTCCGAATTTGTGAGTTTGAGGCTCAGCTGGAGTACAGCTATTTTAACCTGCGACTGTATATTACTAGTCCCAGAAAAATAGCACATTTAATCCATAGTTAGGTCATTGTGATCACATGCGCTTCTGGGATTAGAACCCAGTGTCTCTGTTTACAAGACAGGCGCTTTCACCAGACAAGCCACAGCGCCCTGGTGTCTGCAATGCACGTTGGCAGACACGTTCTACAAGAGCATGTGGAGCGCAGTTTGTAACGTGAGTTGGTTATGCGCCAGAGAAAAATGCCCTCGCCCAAACGTGGGCTCTAACCCACGACCCTGAGATTAAGAGTTTTGCCTCCTGACATGTTGGAGACCTGGATTGGCAGTTTGCAAGGGTGAGTCAGTTAAGTCTGGTTGGGCAATCGGTTTACCCCGGTATTACACAGCAGTTTCGCAGCAGAGCGATGCCGAGGTTGTGAGTTCAAGCCTCCACCAGAAGCTGTGTTATTCTTGAACCCTATGCCAGTCTTGTCCAGATAATGAGTATTTATCACTCATTTAGGAGGATATTGCCCGGAAAATATGTCTGTTTTGTGATAACAGTTATGAGTGCAAGCACTGCTAGGATTCAAACCAAGGGTCTCCTGTTTCACCAGCTAAGCCCACACGTCGCAATGAGTGGCAACCCGCTTT